CACAGTAATTAGTCTGGCTAATATCCAGGCGCTACACGCACCCAGGACGCTCCGCATGCCACGCACAAAGCATCCGAGAGCTTTTCACACGCCGACGATTGTTCGCCGAGATTTCTCTGGCGGAGAATTCAAAAGGTTTATTATTAAAAACCTGATTATTGCGGCGGAGCGTTGGACGCCGACGTTCGATTTATTTCCTCAGAAGTTCGCTTTGTTCGGTCTGAAAGATGTTTTTCTCTGGGTTTCTCTGTCCGCTGTCATGTTTGAAGCAAAAAGCAAAACTAAAAGCTTTTCTTGGTTAAAAAAACCTCAACAGATCAGACTTCTCCTCCACCAGTGGACATTAGAGCAGAATCAGCAGGCGATTCATCAATCTGACAGTAAATTAACCGTCTCAACCTCCAGCACTTTCACATTGCTCCTCACTGTGGCTCATTTTTCATCAAAGTCCTGCAGCTCAACAGAAACAACATGAAGGAGAGAGAACTCAGAGACGTCTTCTGTGCAGGAAGATCGACAGAAACCATAGAGAAGAAGAACCAAAGTTAAAAAAAACTTCCAGATGTCAACAGATGTTATCAACACTAGAAAGAAATGGAGGCTTCACATCCTGCAGATGTTGAGCTATCTCCATGTTTCCAGCCTCTACAGACTTTTCCTCTCTGCTCTGCTCATCAGATGTAGAAAGATGTTCCACCATCAGCTGGATGTATCTCCAACATCTGGTTCCTCTGTTCTCTGGTTCTGATCCGTGCTGCATTTATTCATTGATCCAGTAGGTTGGGTTTTCCTCTCAGTCCTCATCTTGTTGGTTGTTGAGCTGCGATTTACAAACTGCTCTTTGCAAAGTTTACAATCAACCTTTTGGGCTAAAATGCCGCCACACCAACATCTGCTTTGACACGGTGTTGGACGGTTTGGAGCCAACTTTGAGTAAAAGTTTAGAAAAAGGTAAATAAGTTCAGATTTGTCAGGGATGTTCATCGTCTGTTCAGCCAGAAATGATCAATCAGTCTTGGATGTCTGATCATGTCGAGCTTTTCTCTTTATGAAAGGCTGTTTGACAACTTTTAAATTAGTCAAAAACTATTTTGATGAGTCTGTTTGAGTCATTTTTAAAAAGAAAAACAGCCTAAATTCTCCATAAATGTGAACATTTCCAGGTTTCTTTCCTCCTCTGTGACGGTTGTGGACAAAACACGACATTTTAAATCTACTAATTTAAGTTACACACAGTATTAAGCTGATGCCACACCGTTCATCAAAACGATGTTTGCAGCTTAAAAACTAAATTATTGTCTCTTGTATTAGATTTTCTAGAGTCCAGCTCTGGTGGTCGGACATCATCTCATTGGCAGGGACAGAAAACATTCAATCCTTCCAACAAAAACCCCACAAAATCTGACAGGAAACCAACTGTTCGGCTACCTGACGGAGCCGGCAGGAAGCTGGACGTCGAGCAGAAAAATCTCTGACAAACGTGTAAACGGAGGGAGGGCTTTTTTTGTGCCAGTCTCAGATGGAAGTGATGCGTAAGCGTTGGGCGAGCAGCTTGCCGTCAGTCGCAGCTCATGTGCGGAGGCGGGCGAATCCACCGGCAGCCAGAGCATCTGCTGGTGGGCGTGGCCTCGGCGACCCCAAAATTCCTCCGTCTGATTTCATCCTGCTGCTGCTGCTCTTTCTGCGATCAGACGCTTTGAAACGAGCAAGAAAAAAAAAAAAGAGCTAAATGCATGTCTGATTCTCCTCCGTTCGTTTGAAGGTTTTCTCTGTTTGACCTTTTGAAGATCCAGATGAGGCCTCCGGAGGTAAACACTGCTGCTCTGGTATCTGCTGGACGGTTTCTTTATGGAAACAGACTGACAGCAGCAGCGATAAGAAGCGAAGCCATCACGCTCCGGTTTTACCTTTTTCCTCCGGAGAACGGAGCTGCTGCCTCCCTCCCACCCCCCACCTGCTCGCTTATTTCAAATCCTCTTATGTGACAAGAAAAGTAGGAGGCCAGGGCCGCGACGCCCACCAGACGCTTCATGTGTCGCGTTCGCAGCATTCAGCGGAGCATTTAGAAGAAGAAAAAGAGTCCAAATATCAGCTGATGGTCTGAATAATTTATGAAAGCGCTTCTTGGACTTAATGACTCAACGGCTGAGAGAAAGAAAAAAAGGAACACCTCACATTCAGACAGTTTTACAAAACAGAAACGAGACTTTGTGAATAAATGTGAATGTAGTAATGATCCTGGAGACAGACGGAGGCTTCATTCAGCTCCTGTTGTGACGATTTTATCAATAAAAGCTGATGAACTGCAGAATGCCTTCAGGTCTGTCTGTAGAGGCTGAACCATGAGAATGATTAACGTGAGCTGGCATCCGTCACCAGTGTTTAGGTTTAAAAATGCACGAGCCTCACGGAAATATTAAACTACTCTCTGGTCCACTTGGAGAACATGTGTCTCCATTTTTGGTGCTACTTCCGAGTAGGGCTGTCAATTTAATCAATCAATCAGTCAGACTTCTCATACAAACAGAAAGAGCTTTACAGTAAATAAAACAACACAAACAACCTCCCACCACAGTCAAGATATCAATGAAAGGAAGATTTGAGGAAACGCTGTCCTGAGAGTCGGCGTACTGTGAGCCCTCCTTCTGGTCTGAGTTAGAACTCGTGCTGCCGAGTTTTGAAGACGTTGGATGTTTAGTCGTTCTCAGAGAGTCCAGATAGGAGAACGTTACAGTAATAAACGCATTTATTAGTGTCTCTGCTTTGGTTTTTGAGCGTCCTGGTTGGAGTCTAGTCATATTATTTAAATGATAAAAAGCCAACTTGGTCAAATTTTGAATGTGGGGCTCGAGTCCAAGATGACTCCCAGATTTCTAATTTGTTTACATCGTTTTAATACCTTCACCTTTGGTCGTCGGCACCATCGATACACCTCTAGTTAGCTGCTGTGGCTGAGATGCTATGCAGCCAGCCACCACTAGCCGGCGCTGTGGCTCCTAAATCAGTGCAGTTTGTTCGTATTTTGATCTAGAAAATTAACTGAAGTTGCAAAAATAAACCACATTTGTGGATGTTAGTCTGCAAGGCCGCTAGCGTTAGCACATTAGCAACACTCTGCAAACCAATACGTCGTCATTTTCCTGCTGATCTGCTCGAAAACAAAATAAAAAGTTCACGACAGCAACGCCTGCACTGACTGACGCCAAATAAACGGTGCTGAGGTGTGAAATGAACCATCCAGACTGGACGTTTTCTCAAGTTTAGACTCGTTAAGCTAACGAACGCTAAGAATGTCCGTATAACTGGTGAAAGTGTTTAGTTTGGAATCTGTCAAAACTTTCTAGATTTTAGTTGTTTTTTCAGGTTTTTTGCAGCCATGAAGGCGTTCAGGTGGAGAGCTGATGCTGGATGTCAAAATAAAACGTGAGATTTGTGTAAAAATGCACAGAAACCGACTGAAACACTGAACATGTCATTGATAAATAAAAAAAACCACAGAGATCCGGAGAGTAAACACCGCACGTCTTATTCCCAAAGAAGCGTTGTCATGGAAACGCCGGGTAATGAAATAAGCCGATTGGTGACGTGCAGATGTGCGGAGCGTCTACTGTACAGCGAGCGGCTCCTGGCAGGCCTCCACATATCAGATAAACACCCATATTGGATTTCATTCAGGCGGCCGAGCGCCGTCCGCCCAGAGAATCCCAGCAGCAGGTCGACGTCTGTGGGCTTCGTCTCGGCCGTAAACACAGTCGGCTGAGAATAAAAGAGCCGAAAGAGTTCACGGCCGAGGTTACGGCTCGTCTGCTAACGGCCACGACTCCTTCACTACGGGCACAAGAAGCATGAAAGTCAGCCGTGGGTTTGTGCAGCTTCAGATGCTTCCACAGACGACACTAAAACCGCAGCGTTCAGGCTGTTTGGTCTTTTTTTGAATTTATGCAAAGAAATGAAGCCGACAGACGTTTGCTGTAAATAACTGCTGAAGCTCAGGTGTTTGTGCCACATCAGGATGGGCTCATGCTGATTCACAGTAATTAAATGGGTTTATATCATATATTAAATGACTGTTGTCAGTTATTTTTACATCCATGGACAGAGATAACAAACTCCTGCACATGTCAGTAGGCTCAGAAGGAGAAACGTGTTGTTGTCGTGTGAATAAGTGCATGTAAAACTTAAAAAAAAGGACGTTTTTAACCTAAAGCGTGTATTTTAACCTGAAGCTAACCAAGTGGAAGCCACAGCATCCATATATAAATACATCAGCAGTGAATTAAAGCTTATTGTTCTGTGATGTCATGAGATCTTGTCTTTAATTTAACAAAACACCTGTTGAGAAAATTATTAGTTTTTTTCCTTCATAAACATCATTTTTCTTTCAATTAATGGCAAATATCAGTAAAATCATGATATGTTTTTGCAAATTTAATACAGTAAAAAACAGTGTAGTTTTACATTTAGGTAAAAGAATGATTTTAAAAATACAGATTTTTTAAGTCACCTAAATTGACATTTTGTTCATTTTTTGAGTGATTAACGTGTAAATAAATATGTTTTATGATGATATGATTTTAATAGTTATCTGTGATTGAACAAAAGAATGATCATGTTTACTTTTAAAATATGTAATTTTTCTGTCAAATAACCACAAATATCTGTAAAATAATTCTGTTTCTGCCTTACTATGACCGATAACTACTGAGAACAGACGGTTGATGTTCTAGAGTCTGGAGGATGAATGATCAGGATTCTCTTTGGTTTATGACCAAACAACCTGTAAAGCTAAAGACCTTTAGCTAAGTCGTTGTGTTTATTGCTAATTAACAGACGATGGTGACTAAACGAGGTCGATGTCTCCTGTGAAGCTTCAGTGGATCAGCTCAGAGCCCGGCTGTGTGGTAGAAGCTCGTCTCTGGATTCTGTTTTAGCTGCTGGACTGTGAACGTGTTCATGTGATCCACTAAACTCTGTGTTCTTGTGTCTCCTCCGTCCTGCAGGAACCTTCATCTCGGCCTTCACGGTCCTGTGCGGCGCTCGCAGCGAGCTGATCTCCGAGCGAGGCGTCTGCTGCGTGTTCTGGCTCAACGTGGCGGCGGCCTTCATCCAGATCCTGACAGCCGTCATCATGGTCGGATGGATCATGAGCATCTTCTGGGGGATGGACATGGTCATCCTGGCGAGTCAGTGGCTGTCGGCTTGTGTTTGTCACCGTTCTGCTCCTTTTTCTTTCCTCTTGCTCTCGTCTGTCTTTTGTTCGTCTCACAGCTGCTCCAGACGTGTTTGATGGTTTTAAAGCAGGAAAATCTGATAATAACGTTAAGAAAACATCCTCGGGTGGTTTTGTTCTGCTTTTCTGCCATTTAAACACAAAAGATCTGCTTCTTCTGAGATCGTTTAAAATTCTTCCAGACTACAGAACCTTTCACACAAAAAAAATTATTATAGAACCAATTTAAAATATTGACTTTTCAGCATTGACATCGTAGATTATGCTGACTCATCAGGTAAAAGACTTGTTGATTGTGTTAATGTTTGTTTGTTTACAGCATCTATACTGTAAAATATTTCTATATTTAAAAAAAAAATTTAAAACCAGTTTTTACTCTTTTTTTTTTTTTTTTAAACAGTTTACTGATATTTTATAGAATTTCTTCGTACAAAAGTCACTGAAAAAAGTCTGACTATTAAAGAAACTGGACAATAATGTTAAAAATCCATATTTTTATAAACAGTAATTTGCTCTTTTTCAACATTTGACTCTAAAATAATCATTTTTACAGGATTTAAATCAGCAAAAAAGTCATTATGCACAGATATTCATCATGTATATCTTGTAAAATCACACAAAAGATACTAATTTACATCTTTTTTAATCAACTGTAAAACTGCACAGTTTTTACTGGATTTAAATTAGCAAAAAAAAAATATTATTCAGATACTTACTGTTATTTTAATTGTTTTTATGCACACATTTATTTATTTTACAATTTTATTACAACATTTATTCTGAAGCCTTGAGCTGTCAGGTTTTAAATGGGATTTTTATTTGTTTATTTATTTTTAAACTGTGCACCAACATTAACAAAACCTCAGCATAACGTCAGAGTCGTCCTTCAAGGATGCAAAATGCAGCTCCGGAAAAACAAAACAAACGCTGGAAAAGGGTTTTACGTGGCAGAAACATCAGACTGAAGCAAGAGGAGAAATAAAAAGCAGCAGCAGCAGCAGAGGTAGAAGCAGGCAACGGAGATGGAGAGGTCGGCTAATTCTGCCGCCTTCTCTGTCAGGAAGCAGCATCTCCTCCTGCAGCGCTAATGCACGAACAGACACGTGCACACGCATGTGCACGTGCACACGGAGTCACCGTTGTCTCAGTGCAGCCTTTGAATTACCACCACTGTCTCCTTTGTGTGCACGTCTGACTGTATGAGGTAATTGCTGCCTGCAAACCAAAGTGTGCTGCATGTGTGTGTGTGTGTGTGTGTGTGTGCATATGTGTGTGTGCATGTGTGTGTGCGTGTGTGTGTGTGTGTGCATGTGTGTGCATGTGCATGTGTGTGTGTGTGTGTGCGTGCGTGTGTGCATGTGCATGTGTGTGTGCGTGGGAGTGAGCGCCCCCCGGTGTGTTTCTGCTCGCTGCTGTTCAGGCCTCGGGGCTCAAACCGACGCTGAAACCACCGTTTGCTCAGAAGGTCGATGATTATTCAGCCGTTCATCAGCTCGCTGCATCAGTTTGTGTCATAAATCTCTCAGAAACTGGGCTGAACTGGGCTGAACTGGGCTGAACTGGGCTGAACTGGGCTGCGTGTGCTCTCTAATGAGCCCGTGTTGCATATCATCAGCGTATTACTTCTTCTTCCTGCATCCATCTAATGATCTCGGTATTATCTGCCTCCCACTGATCTGCCTCCATCTAATCACTGCTCTTCTCCTACATTATTCCTCCCCCGTCTCCTCTTCTTCTTCGTCTTCACTTTATTTTTACTCCCCCTCTGTTCCCGCCTCATCCATCCTGCACACCAGGACTGTGTTTCTGCAGCTGCCTTCATCTGATCATGTCGTTTATTCACATCTGAAGTGAGGCCACTTGGAGAAAAAAAAAAAAAAAAAGTGAAATTTGTGAAACTAACCGCCTCTTTTCTTGTGTTTTTTTTTCCCTCCCTGCTCGCCTTCGTCGTCCAAGTTTCTGACGGTAGGTGTTTGTCTTGTCTCTCTTACTATCAACGCTCTCCTGCTGAGCTGATCAAACCGTGGAGAGAAGCTCCACTACGTTTAAACAGAGACGTGCAGAATCCAAAACAAATAACTTCCCAGGCCGAGAGACGCTTATAGCAGCACCGCAGTTCTCATGATCTCCTTCATCTGGGTCACTCGCTATTCTCACAAACCTCTCAAGTTCGAGGCAGAAAAGTTCATTTCTGACCCCAGAAAAAGCAGTTTGACAGCTCGTAGCTAACATACAGGCCAAACCAACTTTATCCACAAGCAGCACCGATGCTGCCTGTGAGGAAGCTCAAGGAACGCCACCAAAGTCATGTTTCTGGGTTTCATTAGCAAAAAAAGGAACATTTTACAAAAATAACGTGCTGTTTCCAGTCACTACACTGTAAAATTATTATTTTTAAAAACTGGGGAAAGAAATAGTAATATTCCAGCAAACTGGTGCACAAAAAACTCATGTAAAATAATTAATTAAGTAATTATTGATTATTACAATATAGTTTCTTGCCTTAATGTTGTACCAGATTTAAGATTTTTTTTTATGTTTCATGAATAATAGTAATTTTTAAAAAGTGCCTTTAATTGTTTGGTTTTATTGATTTAGTCTATATATTGCTATATAACTAATAATTAAGGTTTGGTTTATGGTTTGTAGCTTGTCTATGTGACAGATCTTGATGCTAAGAATGCATGTCTACCTTTAAAGTTAATTAAAAGAACAGATATTAAACAAATACTCACCCTTATGATTGTAATATTAAACTGTTAATACAGCTTACCTAAAAATGTGTGTTTCTATGATATTTCACATTAGATCATGTAAAGACACGGTCAGAATTTTAATAACGTTTAACGTATTTCAAAAAAGCTGTAAAATAAAAATGAAAAATTCTGTAAAATTACAATTTTTAGTTTATGTTGTTTACAGTGTTGTTTGATGGAACACCAGCACTACGTTCTGTTTCCACTCTTTCCTTAAATGACTTTGATTAGGTTGAAGATATCTTTAAGAAAACTTAAATGAACCAAAAGCTGAAAACGTTTGCAGAACTTTCTCGGAATGTTTTTGGAACCAAAGAAATAAAAATTCTAAAAATCAGAAATAACAGTAAAACAGTCAGAGGACGACTTTATCTGCACCGATTACTTTTAATACTTTAAGTACATTTTTCTGAACATACCCACATATTGTTGCTTATACTGTCGATGCAGGAATTTTACCAGAAATGTTTTTAAATATTTTATGCAGCTGCTTTACAAAAGCTGACGTTGTGGTCGGTTCCATCCTCAGGCTGCAGAGAACAAGGAGTTCCTCAGGACGTCTGAGAGACGTCGGATGCCACGGACAGTTTGACCCCTTTGACTTCCAGAAGCCGAAACCTTCGCGGCGACCACAAGGCGGGAAAACGGCGAATTCAAGTGACTGGTCTCCATGGAAACCTTCAATCGCCGTCTGCTGATTGGCCGAGAGCCGCGTTCGCCGTTCTCAAAGGGGAACCGGAAAAGAGACTCAAACTGTACAGACGGAGGAGAAGGAAGACGACGTGTTTGTAGTTTGTGGCGTGATTATAACGGTGATTTTTGATATTTTTTATTTGATTTAAACCTAATATGAAGCTGTAGAAACCTTTGTTGAGAGGACGGAGACGGAGGGACAGCTGACCTGCATGTGATGCAACTGAAAAGCTTGTAAATCCAGCTGCTGCAAAGCGTTGACTCGGCCGAGCTCTGGTCTGAAGCTACTTTCAGTGTTAAATGTCATCGCTTCATTGCAAAAAAAAAAAAAAAAAAAAAAAAGGTGTCGTTCCAAATTTGCTAGCGTTAGCTTTAGCCTCTGGTGTGTCGTCGTGGCCTCGTTACGCCGTCACCGTGACGCTGCTCTGATGATGTACGATGTGCTTCTTTTAATGCTTTTTAACAATATTCAAGGTTCTCTCGTGGTTCATTAAGCCCTTCTCAGACATGGAAGACGTGACGCTGCTGCTTCGTCAGCGTACAAACCAGACGGGACATCAAGCGATGTTCTCATGACAGAAAACTAAATCCAGTGTGAATCATTTAAAGCACCTGATTAGTGCCGATGGCGTCCACTGATCCTGATCCAAGTGATTAATGAAGTGATGCTCGTTGTCTTTGGAGACGTTGGTGTGGATCCTGCTGCAGGTTTTTAATAAACTCAGAGTCTAAACCAGTTAAACTTTACTTTGGGCCACTTGTGGGACCTGCAAGTAAATCATCGATCGTCCGTCTCCATGTCAGGGATCAGCTGTAAGTAACTGATGAAGTGATGCATAACCGTGAGCAGCTCATGTGGATCCTGATGCTGCAAGTGTTTAATAAACTCAGAGGAAATCGTCCTAAACAGCAGGAAGCAACCATCAAACTTCACCTTCGGCCACTTAAAAGCTGGATTACATTCATTAGTGATGAGCGTCATTAACGTTCTAATTGGAATTATTTCTCTTATAACACATCTACAGCTGGTTTTGTTCACTACATATGAGGAATATTAGGTACACACAATTAATTAATTGGAAATTAAGAATTTTACGGCCGCTTTAGAGCTTTTTGACCAACCAGTGGACTTTATCTCGGCCCCAGTTGGTGCACCATTAATCATAATTGGAATTATTTCTCTTCTAAACTGGTTTTCTTCACTAGATGTTGGGAATTTTAGGTACAATTAATAATTTCATATAAATGGTCTTGTTGCAGGTGTTTTATAGTTTTTCTCTTGATGAAAGTCAAAGATTCCAGCCGGTTACAGACTATTTATCGAAGTGAACTTGTGTTTTTCGACACATTTTGTGCTTTCAGTTAAACATGTGCAGCTCATGTGGATCCTGCTGCAGGTATTTAACAAAAAACAAACTAAACTTTAGCTCCTGTTTGTCAGATCTTCATTACTGGTGAGTCTCATTAATCTGATCCGTCACAGAAGTTGTATTTTAATGGACGTTTTACTTTGTAATAGATATAAAACTGTAGGAGAAACTCTCTCTGTGATGTTTTTGGACAGCTTGGTGTCATGAAAACCAACCCAAATGCATTTTTATTTTTGTTGTATTTGGCGCCTTTTACCCTCGACTCTACCATCTCATGCGTTATTTTAATAAGTTAAAATGCATAAAACGCATAGAAAAGCTCGCAAAACGTGGCAGAAGCTACACAACTCACATTATTTTAAACCAATGTTGGTGCTGAAATGAGGAAAGATTCTCTCCCCAGATGGTTTTTTGATCAACTCTGAGTACGTTGTGATGTTTGTGGCTCCCTGGTAGTGCGACCACATGCAGCTCAGACTTGTGTTTAAAGCAAAATACGACATCTTTTACAGAAAAGTCAGCAGGTTGCTCGTTCAGACGTGAAGCCAGGACGTTTTAGACGCCGTCAGATTGATAGAAATTAATCTGAATCTGTTCATTAATGACTTAAAACCTGACAATTCGCACAAATCTGTAATTACGGCACCAACATTTCTACCTTTGGAGCGCGTGGTGATCCCACTGTGCTCCATCCATCGTCGTATCTTTGACATTTTTGCTTTTAAACTCGTCTTTAACATCCCAACGCTGCTGCTGCTCTTCACAACGTACCCTTAAATTACAAAGCAGTGTTAAAAGTGACTCACGCTGCTGCTGATAATTATTACCGTGATTTGAATGTTTGAATGCGTACAGCAGCGCCGAAGGGGATGTTACACATTATTCAGGCTTTGTGTCTAATTAACAGGTCTTAAAATACTCGCTCTCATTATTTGGCACCTCAGTCACAACCCCGCCGCTGCTACAAATACAGTTACAGTGACAGGACCGAGGTTTGAAAGCTGAGAATTCGCTGTTTTCCCAAACGTAACGCCACTTATTGTGTTTATATGTGAGCGTCAGATGGATTGTTAGTGATGGAGGATATCTGGAAGAGGGCTAAAACAAGAAGAAATGCGTAAACAATTGTTGGAATTGTTGATCCAAACGAGGCCTTTTCCCATGAAACCAAACCGGCTCGTTTCTCACGCTGGCCCGTTTCCATGGAAAACGTCCAAGAGCATCAAAAGTCAAACAGCCTGAAACTGAAAACCTCAAACCAGCTCGTTATGAGGTCCGCCAGGTCCAAATTACTGTAAATGTAGCTGAAAAAAAACCTGAACGGGCTCCAACAACCACAAAATACTGCTATAAAAAGTACCTTTAAGTACAGAAATGCACATTATGATTCCTTCTAGAAGACGTACGAGGAGCAGGTTGGTTGTGTTTCTACAGAAATCAGGTTGTTTTCAAGCTCAGACAATCTTAAAAAGTCATGTCTACTGTTTAACAAATCGATCAGAAATCACTCAGTTTGAATTAAATGTCCATTATTGATGCAAAAGAATCCCCATTTATGAACCCATTAGTATGTTTAGGGCCAATTGAAAACACCAGAAATAGTTTCACCAATGAGAACGTGGCTGCTTGATATCGACCAACCAGCTGACCTGCAAAAATCAGCCCTAAATAAGTCAGTTCCTCTGTTTTTATTACCAGATGTTGGGCAGTTGAAGTCATGACTGTTCCCATTTGGGTGTAAATTGTCTTTTTACTGCTTTTCTCCTTCTTAAAACTACCACTAGAGATTTCAAACCAAAGACAATTTGATCGAATACAAACTAATCCACCAACCAGTGGACTTTAGCTCCATGTTATGAGCAGCGCCATGTGTAGCTAATTGGAATTATTTCTCTTCTAAACTGGTTTAGAACTGGTTTTGTTAACTAGTTATTGGGAAATTTAGGTAGAGACAATTAATAATTTCATATAAATGGACGTTTTTACATCCGTTTTCTCTCAACAAAGTGACTTCTGTCCAGTCAATAAGCATGAGATTGAAAGCGAGCAAACTGACCAACCAATGGACTTTATCAATATGGGAATATTGGGTACAGACAATTAATTAGTTGGAAATTAAGAATTTTACGGCCGTTTTAGAGCTTTTCGACCAACCAGTGGACTTTATCTTGGCCATAATTGGTGCGCCATCAATCATAATTGGAATCATTTCTCTTCTAAGCTGGTTTTGTTGACTAGATGTTGGGAACTTTAGGGATATACATTTAATAATTTCATATAAATGGTCTTTTTTTGCAGGTTTTCTCTCAATGAAAGTGACTGATTTTTATCCAACCAACAAAAACGGAGCAAACCCATCCTTCAATTCTCCGCTTGGCTTCATTTAAATTCATATTTTTACAGATTATCTTCATTATTTCAGCCGAACGTGCTTCCCAGACTCTTGCTGTTGTTGTTTTTTTATGTTCTGATGTGTAAACGTTGTACAGTGTTTGTGAGAATAAAGACGCTGACGTCCGTGATGAGCTGACTAATCTTCTCCCACGTGGTGAGTCTGCTGCTGGACTTCCTCGACTCTGTGTAGGTGCTGCAGCGTTTGGACTTTCTCCCGCTTTGGATGAACGCTGAGCAGTCGTACAGGTTTAGAAACGACGGCGTGTTTGACTGTAGGATCAGCAGCGTACAGTATTTTATTCTGCATGTATCGTCGATGTTCACGGACCGTAGAGGGAAACACTCTGAGTTAGTTTAAGATTGTAGATTGATTCTGTGGTTTTAATTTGAGGCACAAATCCTGCTATTAAAGCTCATGTTGGTCATAATTACTGACTGAATTTTGCATGATTTTGACTTAACGAGGTGATTATTTCTGGAAACCTGGAAGGTATTTTAATAATTCGCCGCTTCATGCTGGCCTAAAAACACTCACACTTGTTTGTTTTTTCACCTTTTACACTTGATTAGCTTCACATTTAGCGCCCTGCTCGTATTATTTCCTGGTGACAGCTGTTTCTAACCACAGAGCGGGTTCAGGACGAACACATCGTCGTGTAAATAAATAAGCCGTGAATTTGCTTCTGACTCATGAATAAACAAACTTTGACATTTTGTCCTTTACTTCCTGTTATTCCTGGAGAGTCGTTTTTTTCCAGAGAAATTTCTTTTTGAATGTCACCATCAGAGCATTTATCTGCCTGAACGTGCATGTTGCATGGACAGCGGTTGCTCATTTATCGTTCCTAGAGTGTTCTTTTAGGGTTGCACAATGATTTTGGCTTCTGGCAGCTGAATAAACACGATCGACCACAGCAACATATGATTTTTATAAACTGCACAGTGGGGAAATTTTGCATTGTTGCAGCAGCAAAGAAATATCAGTACAAAAATTAAAAAATAAAGCAAAAATATGCACAAGTACTCATTTAGATTGTCTGAATTCCTCCAGATGTGGAAATAAAATGGCACAGATTCTTCTATGAGTAGAACTGATGAAGGAGGATTGATACTGAACAGATCAGATCTATGTTGCATGAAGGAGAACAATTTATTTTGCACAAAGTTTTCAGATGTACAAAATAATCATATTTCACAGGTTTGAGTGTGTTGATGTTGCACCAAAAATAAGTTTTTGTTGTTTTTTTGGGGGGGGAACAGAGCTGGTTGTAAAGTCTGACTTCGTTTCAACTTGTGCAAACTGACATTAGAACAAGTTCGTTCTGGTCTGACGGCTGTCTGAGCTGCAGTAACCGATGGAGACTAGAAGCTTCTCTGTGCAACGCTAACTAGTTAGCATCTACTGTAGTCTGCATGTGAGGCGTTCAGGGAACATCTGTAAACTGTAGCGTCTGTGCATAAGCAGATGTTAGGAGTTTTTCTTTTGCACGGTTAAATTCATATTTTGCTTCTAGAAGATGCTCTGAATTCAGGTGAGGATTAAGGTTTAAGGTTTAATTCTGCACATCAGCAGGAATGTAGCACAATGTGGAAGTGAAGGCAGAGCTCTGTTTAGTTCAATGTGTGTGCAATGACATATTTTGTCCCTAAAATGAACGGCTAATCATGGTGAGGTGTCAATAATGACTAATTATTACTTAGGCCATAATCAAGCTTCCTTTTATTATTTATTTACACTTTTTTCTTTCTGCTGCTGCTGCTGACACCCAGATTCCCTCGACTGTGAGTCAATAAAGTGTCATTTCATCGTCTGTATCTTTGGTTTTTTGTGTTTTTTCTGCTCCAGCTGTCAGTTGAACATCAGACGACACATCAAGAGGAAGTAAAACACCAATATTTGCCCAATAAATCACTCATCAGCAGAACATGTGAAGCTCAAGTGAGAAACAAAACACTGAACGTGTTAGATTCTCCAGTGAGAAGTGAGATTTCCTCGGCTCGGCTCGGCTCGGCTCGGCGCTGCCCAGTTTATCTTATTAACTGTCTTATTAAACGTCTTAATTACTCCACGACTGATGAAGACGATGCTGAGTCACACAGAGGAGGAACCTGGTGGTGGACTTTGTGTTGTGACTTGCAGGCTGTCCTCTCTGACCAAATTAGGATTTCTTTTTCTTTCCTGAGCAGACAGCATCCTCTAAAACTCCCTCTCCGTCGTGTAAACACGACCGCAGTCGAGTTGTTTCTCAGCTCTGCAACGTCAAAACACATTCGGAGACGAAACGCAGCGACGAGGCGAGCTGGAGAAGCTTCCTGAGCGAGCATCTCATCTCAACCAAACACTGTTTTAATCATAAAGTGTTTGGCCTCAGATGATCTGGTGGTTACTCAGAGCCGACAGTGTTTGTGACGGACCGGGCCGCGAGTCACAACAAGGCTTCATGAAGGCTCGTAGGAAAATTACAGATGATGTCTGAGTGGAATTAATGAAGCTGCAGGAATGTTTACCTCCAGTATGTTGTATGCTTCATAGTGCAGATTGTTAGCACGGCTGCTACAACAACCAACAAAGGTAGTTTGCAAAATGACATCATTTATCGTCCACAAACTGTAAAAACACAAAAATGATCTGCAAACATAAACCATTTGCACCAGATTCTGCAGGAATTGTGCTTCTTGGCACTTGACTCAAAAATGGGTTGAACTGCAGGAAGTGTTTCCTCAGAGAGACTGAGAGGAAAATAAAACCTACTGGACCAATGAATAAATGCAGCATGGATCAGAACCAGAGAACAGAGGAGCCAGTTGGTGGAGATACATCCAGCTGATGGTGGAACATCTTTCTACATGATGGTGGAACATCTTTCTACTGATGGTGGAACATCTTTCTACAGCTGATGGTGGAACATCTTTCTACATGATGGTGGAACATCTTTCTACATGATGGTGGAACATCTTTCTCTCTGATGAGCAGAGCAGAGAGCAAACCAAATTCATATGCACAACCACCATAGCCTCTAAAATAATCGGTCTTCCCACACTAGAACTCACAGAATTCAACAACAGGGCCATGACACAAACTGAAAACAAAACAGGACAGGACATAAGACACTGACTGGACTCATACCTCTCCTCCCTCTGCTCAGGACATAGATAGAGGACACCAGGATGCAGACGAGCACCACGAGGCAAAAGCCTCATGCCATCCATTGTTGCAACACTGAACAAAAGGCCACGGTGATGTGGACAGAGTGAAAACCACGTTTATATGTGAGCAGTGTTTAGTAGAATGTGTGTCCTGTGAATGTAAATCAAGTGCAACGGTGCTGTGGACAAGAATTTCCCCACAGGGACAACAGAGGCTAAATCTACATCTAGAGAAAAAGTCTGTAACATGGGAATAGCTTATATAATACCAGTTTTATCCAGTGACAGTAATACGTGTACTTGGGAAAATGTGTCTATTCCAGTTTTTTTCCATTTTTGTAAAGCAAGAAAAATCCTAAGAAATTGAACTTTAATTTGTCTTTTTTTGATGATTTCCATCATTCTGACTGTGTCATTGTGACCAGAAGACGTTCTCTCTCCTTCTAGTTGTGGTTGTTCAGCTTGTGCAGAGTTAGGGTTTGGGTTTGGACACACTTGGACCAGACTGGATCGTCTCTGAACATTTCTCCTGCCTCTGCAGACAAACTACGTTTTTATGAATCAAAAGACGTCACATTAAACAGTCAGCTGAGTTCCACATATTCATCATTCTCCTTCATGTTTTGTTCTTTTACTGGGATGTCGTTTGTATTCCAGCAGCTGTAAGAACTTTCTGCTACCCGTGAGAACCCGGCGGCGCCCTCCGCTGGACTCTGAGGTGAACTACAGCCATTAAACACAGAGTTCAGCTCTGATTGACTAAAATAACCCGTTGTCAAGGAGTTTCCACAACAAAAACATGATGTACAGTAGGTCTGCCTGCATGAGCTCGTTCTGCTGGACCCGGCGGTGATTAATGGGCCCAGATATGTGCGTTTTTGTGTCCACATTCTCTGGATACTTGTGTGTGTTTATTTCTCCGGCCGGCTGCCAGCTCCTCCACCGCCGGCCAAGACGTTTCTAAATAAGGACGACGACCTCCATCTCCCCACGTCTCTGCTGCATTTTCACTCTTTTCCATTTTTAAACACACACTGGAGCCTCTCGACCAGCAGCTCAGTCAATCGGGTCACAGAGCAATTAAAGGAGGCAGAAGGTTCCTCGTTAAGCTGCACAACAGTGCTGCTTATCGCTGGTTCTCAGAGGCTTCAGAGGGACGAAGCACCATCCTGACTAAAGGTTCTGGTGTTCTGGTGACAGTGGTGGAAGTTAAGGAGCCTTTGAATGTCCTCAACATCACGTCACCACTAAAGAGTCGCTGGTTTTGGCCCTGAAGTCATAGAAAAGGCTTCACGAGTCCGTACAGGCTTCCTGCTTACAGTAAATTAAACTAAACCAAACTCTACAGACATCAGCTGTAAATAAACACACATCTGTCTTTCAGAATGACCGTTTTGTTTAAACAAATCTGCTGTAAGAGCACAAAGTATGAAGAATCCATCATTAATAACAAGTTCAGTAAAAACAAATCTGACCAGTGAAGTTGTTTCCGTTTGTAAGGAGGAAAAACAACTAAAAAAAACTGTGACGGCAGCAACGACGTGAATAAAAACACGTCTAAAATACAGTAAAATACCGTAAAGCTTTTAAAAAAACTACAAAAGCCATTTAGTTTTTGTGCCACAAATACAATATATAGATGTTTTTGTAGTAGTTAGAGCCTGTCACTACTAAAGGCAGGCGGTTGTAATTTTAACCAAATGCAAAAAGTAATTTAAAAAATATCATCCGGAGCAGATTTAAAAGACAGAAAAGTGAATACTTATTTAAAATATCTCCACTTTTCTGGCAGAATTCTGTACATTGATGGGCATATATTATCAATAATTCCATAAAACGTAATAATTATGCTCTTATTTAAAATAATGTGTTCTTTAAATGTATTTATGCTTGATTTAACTGATTTTATTAGATTTAAAAGACGTTTTCCGACAGTGAAAAACAGTAAATCTGCCTAATTTCAGCCATGAAACGACAGAGAAATGAACATACAGCGACATATCTGTTATTTAAAAGATATTCATTGTTAAATTATGTTTATGGTGATTTACTAGAATTTTTACATTTTGCATTTTTTTTGTGGATTCTTTGGTTTTACTTGGACACGATTTGACCCGTGTGATATTCTCAGCTCTAACTTTATTATTCACATGCTGTAGATATTTTCCTTTTAACATCTTTGCAGAGCTTTAACACGCACAAGGAGACAAATCCTAGAGAAAATTTTGGAATTTACACGTAATAAAAGCTGTTCAGCTTCCATCTCTGCAGGTTTCTCACCAGCTTCATCACAACATCTTCACAATGACCGAAACCAAAGTGATCCAACACAAAGCTCAACACCTCCAACACCAACTCCAGAGACTGAAACCAGTCAGAAATACAACAATTACACAGCATGACAGGATTCTGCAATACAGATGAACACTTAAAGCCCACATCAGTGTCACTACCAAAGAGACAATTGATCCCATTCACTCCTACTGAGCAGGTAAAAGTACCAAATAACACAACCAATAAAGATCTCCAACTGGATTCAAGCTGCCTCACAAGAAACTCAACCACATGCTGAAGTAATAAATCCTATGAGCCTTCGAGCTCAGCTGGCAAAATCCATCAGACTTACCAAAGCTGCTCTGAAGTCAGTTCGCTTTGCTGAGATGATCCTCGAGAGTGCAGAAGAGGCAGGTGGGGAGCCTCCTGAGTTGGATTTCCTCCTTTAGGGCTGAAAATGTCCAATCCAGAGAGGCAGTAGATGTTTGGATGGTCAGACAAGCTTAAAAATGCATAAAGTTGATGCATCTCCTTTGCAGGACTTCTTGGACAGTCAGTTACCTTCACCTCCTTCTGATCAGGTTTTTGTTGCCTGAAGTCCCAGTAATCACTCTGAAGGCTGGTAATACAGTCAGAAAGGGAGTAATTGTTCTCTATTTCCTTGTTTTTCTTGACTTTGTCGCCGTTTAGCTTCGTCTCTGTCTTCGCTGTGGATTCTTTTTGGCGTTTTTTGTTGCAAAAGTGTCTCCAAACACCAAAAAAACCCAAAAACCCAGCAGCAGTGTTCCTTTAATGCTGCTATCCAGGTACCTTTGCTTCACATATTGCACTAATGCTGCATCAAATGAACACTTTTCTCCACAGTTTCCACACAAAGATGCATCTTTAGTGACTGAAACCTGCTGCAGTCTTTGTGCCTGAAGCTCCTGCCATCTGTGCCACAACAATAACTGATCCTTCTCAGTCTCACGGGTCGTTTGCTCTTCTCATGTTGATACCAAATTAGAACCAGCTGGGCCTCGTCAGCATTTCTTTACCCGTCATGGTGTCGACTCTCCAATTTTATATTTTGTGGTTTGTGCTAGAAACTCAAGGATGTAAAACCTCTCAGGACATGAAGACATTTAGCCTCCAGGCTTCACCATCTGGCACAAATTCAACCCAGGTGCTTCCTCACCAACTAACCAATAGTGGTCCAGCTTTGTTTAGCCCCGCCCCCTTCACTGCTTCCAGGTGATCCTTTCAAAATAAGCGGCTTCCTCTCCACCAGGTTTATTTACTTTCTACAGCTGCTTCTGCTGAATTTAAAACGTCTGAACCAGGAACAAAGCTCACTAAATGTTCTGTTAGAGTGACCACAAGAGTCTTCATGCGCTGCCAGCATCTGAGGAGCTGAACACCAGGTGGGTTATTGGTATTTTTAATGGTAATGTCTCCACAATTATAGGAAATTCTACAGTGTTAGCATGTGGCTAACATTAGCTTTGATGGTGGAAACTGTGACACTGAGGGTCATTCAGAGACGGTGGAAACTTTAAACCATTAAACAAGGACTGGGCAGGTTTCCTGTTCAACCTGAACTCAGCTGCTGTTAGCATCTATTAGCTTCTCTCCTGCTCTCTGTGCTCACATAAACTGCATTTTAATACAGACGAACTCACAAAAAAAAAAGCTGCTCTCATGTACAGATTTTTCTGTTTTGGAAAAAAAAATGACTAAAACGTAGCTCATTAATACAACACGCTAACCAGCAGCCGCTATGGAGTCGTTTGTCCTTCAGCTAAAACGCTAATTTTATAACGTTTTCTCAAAGAATCACCAAAGGAGCCTAAAACAACGATTGTGCTGTGTATTTTGTGATATGTTCATGTAAAATAAGTGCTCAGAAATCCAGTTTTTCTCCAATCACACATGCAGAGAGAGTTTCCTTCCTAAAGGGGGCGGAGACAGCAGCAGGTAATTGGTTTTTACAGCTAAACAGCCCAATTAAACACCTTTTTATTGAAACAAAAGTATAAAGAATCCATAATTTTATGACAAAAACTTGCAATTTTAAGATTGTTTAGACTGTTAATTTAGTAAAATCAGACCAGTAAAGTTGTTTTCCGATTTGTGAGGCAAGAAAAATGCAAAAATGGGGAAATCTGCTACCAAAAAGGAGGGAAAAAGGTCATAAAAATACAGCAGAATACTGTGATGTTCAAACACTACAGGAGCCACAAATAAAGTATGTAGGTGTTGTTCGATAGACCTTTGTCGTATTTTGAGCTTAAAACGTGTGAATTTGTTGAAAAAAGACACAACACAGGATGTTTAAGTCGTCACCCGTCTGATGAACCTGAAGCTGAGCAGGCTGAAGAACCAGGTCAACACGTCGGCTCTTTTCAAACAATGTTTTATTACAACTTTCAGTTAAGAATGCATTTACATTATAAAATTTAAACACCATCTTCTCGGACTTGCGACTGGATATGAAATATAAAGATTTCTAGCTAAAAACCGTCTGCTCAGAAACGACAGGCACCTTTATTTTATTATTTCCCATCTTCACGCCGTTAGAAGTGCATTCACACAGCAGAGCAAAGAGAGCGTTCACAGTCAGACCGGAGCCAGGTGACGGAGGCGTGAGGAGATTTCCATCCCGGCGCTTCATTAACATTTACGACTTAACACACGACGCGAGTTATCCACCGATTACAGAGATCCATGCGGGTTCCTTTCCATGTCATCTTGACCGCAGTTAAACAGAGTAAAAGTCATGCTATGATGCTAAACGAAGCACACTGTTTGCTAGATTTGCGAGTAATTAACTGGAATTCATTGATAAATCCAACCCATAAAGCTTCAAAACCTCTGACAAAAAAAAAAAAAAACATATTAAAAGGAGCTTTGTAGACTTTAATTCCCAGTTAAACTGAGCGAATTCATGCCTTAATCGGTACAGGTCGTCTGAAACGAGAAGCTAAAAGCTATGAACAGCATCACTGAGAGCTGTGAATCTAACCGACTACACAGGACAGTGTGTTAAACGTACAGTGGACATGTGCTACGTCTGACCTTGTTGTGTCTAAATGCTGACAAATACCAGTTTGTCACACTTTCTATGAGCTAACTTGGCAGAAAGCTCGACTTTAACGCTCAGTTTTTGTCTCTACACTAGATCTGCTACATTTAATTTGCTGTCTACATTCAGACGAAGCCTCGATGTTCACATCCAGACAATCCAATCGAACGTCCACAAAAAGAACAGAAATAAACGTGATGCAGACACACTGTGACACTCTGTGCTGCATTAAAAACAGATTTTCTAATCAATGTGTCCATTGTGTCTCCCTGCAGCCGTCACCTTCGTGGGAGATATTCTGGGAAGTGAGAAGTCGCACCAAACAGCTTGTCAACGGCGTTTAGCACGCTAATTAGCACGAGGTCCCTGCAGCTTTCCACAGAAAGCAGCTTTTTTTTTTTTTACATGAATCATTAGTTGTATTTCCACATACATTTCAGGAATCTTACAAAAAAAAAGAAAACACAATGGGACGACTTTTAAATGAACCAATTAGGGAGCTTGTTGTTAAAAAGTGGCGCTACAGGCTACGTAAGCTGCAATAAACAGAGTAGAAGAAGAAAAAAACAAAAGCAGAGGGTTGTACTACTATGAAGCCAGATCAGTGGGTTAGCCAGGTATGTTGAGCTTAAAGTCAGGCTCTCTTTTAACCTGCTAGATCTCCATGGTAACTGATGTTGTAGAGTTAGATCTCCATGGTAACTGATGCTCTACAGCTAGGTCTCCATGGTAACTGATGTTGTGGAGCTGAGCTGGTCGGGAGCAGGTTCTGTTCAGAGTTTTGGATTTAAATCGGCTGGAAGAGTGGTTCCCTTTAACCAAATTGTCAGACCTACATGGACTTCAATACAAGATCATGTTTAAATATTTTAAGTTTCAGGTTTAACTTTAACGAGCAGCTGTCAGGTGGAAATAAGCAGCTGCATCAGTAAAATATTCTATATGAAGATGTTGAAACAGTTTTCTACCAGCACTCCAGTCTTCACCATTTACAGTAGCGGCACTTTTTACAGTCATAATGTTTATATTCCTCATTGTTCTCCATTAAAACAACGTGTTGACCGAAGCAGCTGCACACGATTGATTCATTTAGTGCAGAATAAGAGTTACGTGACGCGTTAATGCTTCCTTCTTATGTGAACAGAGTTTAAAGCAGAAAGTCTGAGTTGACAAAGAAAGTTGAACCACCTTCTTACACAAAGAAAGCCTGGTTATGTCAGACTTGCTTCGTAGTGCTGCCCTCTGCTGTTTGCTATCTGCTAAAAAACACTAATAGAAGATGAAACAAACCAAAAAACTTTGTCCATCTATGACATGAAAAGGTATTAAAGTCTTGTTTTCAGTTGGGAAAGTTGTCATTATTACGTCATGTTCATGTTGTTTCAAACTTTAAAAAAAAAAAAAAAAAAGGTTTAAAAGGTTTAAGGTCTGAACTTCTTCAGAAAAGGTGTTTTTTTTTTTTATCTCTCATGAAGCTCATTAACTCTTTTCTTGCAAAATTGGGAAGGTTTTTAAAAAAATTTTGCACTTTCCTTTAACGTTTTACGCCAAAAATACACATAAAACCATGTTGTGGATACGCGTCTCATTTAGACATTTCTCTGACTGAAGCTAGAAATGACGTCTTTCCAATTTCATTCACAATCTGCATCACCAGCATATTCATTCAGCGGTTTGTTTACATGTGAGAGCCTGACTTTTACTGTGAGGACGGAGGCAGAAAGAAGGCAGCATTTTGCCAGAATTATGCCAAAATGACTTTAAATTAATCCAAAATTACAAAAAAAAAAGACAAACTGTTGCTGCAGAGAGTGAAACCTGGTGAGAAGACCTCCTTAATAACCCAAATGTGTCAAAAATGACTTAAAATTGGCCAAAAATGGCTCAGAAATGATCTAAAATGGCTCAAAACGTGTGGGACCTGCTGATGGCGGACTGGAAAAGCCTCCATGTGTCCGTAGATGAGAGGAATCCAGCTGTGGAAGTACAACTAATGAACCTGCAGCTCTGATGAAAAGATGCTGTTTTACCTCCAACATCAGCTGGAAGGAAATACCGGGACTCTGAGCTCTCCATATGCTCAGTAAAAGCCAATACTGTTGGAAAATGTCTGTTTTCGGCGGCTAGTTTCTGTGTTTCTGTGTGAAAAGTAAAATAAAGGAAGCAACGCTGCAGGGAGCTCATGACAACCGAACACTGAGAGCCACAACAGACACATTCATGAAAACTCAGCAGGTAGAAATCAACCAGATTCTCCTTTAATCCCAGACTTTACTGATTTCTGATTCACTATTTCGTCCTCAGAGGAACCAACGTGAGACACGACCTCTGATCAGATTCACTGCAGACGGACAAACTGGACAGTTGGTGCGATTTTTTTCCGAAAAGTTCAACAAAACACAGCAACACAAAATGCAAAGAAAAACGCGAGAGTCCCGTTGAAATCATCGGAGCAGAGATAAAACTCCAACCTTTTTACATTCATCCCTCTCCTGCATCCACACGCACACGTTTGGCCTCTGCAGATGTGCCGCTGCTCCCTCTTTCAAACCAAAAAAATTAAAAATGGTGGCTGTAAATATGCATAAAGGTCGTTTCAAAACCAACAAAAACGGGGAAGACACTCGTGGCCTCCGCTCCACGCCGTCCATGGCTCAGGCCGAGGGCGGCGTGCGGCCCTCCCAGTACTTCTCGTAGGCCTTGGAGAACATGTCTTTGCATTGCAGCTTGGCGTTGAGCCGCGAGCAGATGAGGAAGGAGCCGCCCATCTTGCGGTGCAGCGAGTACGTCTCCTCGGGCGGCGGGGTGAGCCGGTGCTTCAGCATCACCGGGATCAGGTTGTGGATGCGCTCGGTGGTCGACTGCGAGCCGAAGTCGAAGGTTTCCTTGGAGGCGAAGGCCTCGCCGAGAATCATCACAGCGTCCACGTGGGCGTTTATCATCGCCTGGAGGGAAGACGGAGGGGAGAGATGCTGACATACTCAGAATTTATGAATAACCTGCCGTCATTTTCTACTGTTTTGTGAAGATTTGCTCTTTTCATACTTTCTTATTGTTAATGCACAGCCTGGAGAAGAGTAGCTGCACAAACTGTACGGACATGTGACCAATAAAGATGCTTCAGTCCTGATATGTTCATTTAAACTGAACTTCTGCACTGGTTCTGTCTGCTTTTCACTTGGTTTTAGGATCCTTTCATTGGTTACTGAGTCCTTTGTTTCTAACAGGATGCTGTTGGGTGGTGATGGGGTATTACTTCCTGTTTATTTGTATTTTATTTCATTTCTATGAAAAATGCTGCATAAATAAAGTTTGCTGGATTCGTTGATAAATGCATCAGATTGGGGTCAATATCCTAAATGATTGATTTGTAATTCACATTTTCACTAAAGACCTGCAGAAACAAAAGGTTTATTTTAAGCGTCACCACGTCAGTCTAGTTATTAAGGCACTGGGGACAGTTTTAATGTGAACAAAACAATGAAAAACACAAATAAATGCATTTAAATTTAAGTAGATAAAAATAGAGGAGTGATGTCACCTTAACACACGTTAAATAAATACAGGGAAGGAAACTCGGGGGATGCCGTCACACAGATTTTTAGAATGGACCGAGTCTCATCGAGCAGAGATGCTTCACAGACCATAAAGAAGGTCCATGTTGGCAACAGCTTCCATTCAGGAAGGTCTCAGAAGGCTGCAGACTAGTACCTGAGGAGACCTGCACCAAGGCCACATGGAGGGTGAAGAAGCTCCATTATAAAGAGA